TCCCCTTCCACCCAAGGCCCTGCCCCCTCTGCCCGGGGGCCTGGTGTAGCTGTCAGCTCCCCTGGTTCCTGTAACATGCTCTGGCTCTTGCCCTCTTCTGCAGAACCCGTCCTTTTAAATTTAACCTTCATTAACAGTGACACTCTTTTCCACACACCCCTCCATGAGCTTTTTAGTCCCGTCCACCATCACAGCATCTGACCGCCTTCCACAGAACATCAACAGCAAAGTCCTCAGTGGCCTCTCCCCTAAAGACCTGTTGAGGTGTCTGAACTAATCTGTTTCTAGCACAGAGAAGGGAAGATCTTGGTTGTCTGCTTGCAAGCTATGTTCTTGCCTAGTTCTCCAAGAAGACGCCTGTTCCTATAGGGGCTTCTCATCGGGTTAGGATTAGCATCCAGCTGCACACAGGCAGGAAGTTTGGGTCCGCTGAGTTCTGATAGCCCGCACTTACGCTTTTGGCAGTGCATGAGGACGTAGAGGAAATACAAGCCTTCCACAGCCTGGTGGCCAATCTCTTTCTCGGGGTCACCAACGCACAGGGCCAGCTGTCCAATCAGGAGTCCCAGCCTGGGGAACTCCAATGACATCTGAGTGAAAATCAAAAGGGGAAGGAATCAGTGTGTTTGTTTGGTGGACAAGCCAGGAGAACCTGTCACCAGTGGCCATAAATGTCCCACAGGAGGGGAAGAGCCTGGTCTAGCACCGTTCACTCTGGCATCAGGCTATCAGGGCCAGAGACCACTCACACAGAATTTAGGATGCTTGGACGCCGCTTGTAACAGGCAGACACTGGTGCTCACAGCCCTCAGTCGCTCGTGAGCTTTCTCTGATGTCATCCACAAGGCCAAGTGCTGCAGGAATGAGCAAGGGAGGCCTGTGTTAGAAACTGCAGAGGGGCATGTGTTGCAGTGAACCCCTAAAGCTGCTCTGTCTCTGACCTGATCACCGCAGGATTAACCAGACAGAGTCTTGCTCCCTTTCAGGATTTTGGTCATGAACGATTCCCTTTCCCACCCACCCACCCCCAACCTACAGAGAGGTAAATCTGGCTTTAACACCACTGAATGCACCCCTGTGATTATCATAAGAACAAAAGAATGGCCATACTGGGTCAGACCAAAGGTCCATCTAGCCCAGTATCCTGTCTGTCAACAGTGGCCAATACCAGAAGCCCCAGAGGGAGGGATCACAACAGGTAATCCTCACATAATCCCTCCCGTCACCCACCTCCAGAGAAACAGAGGCTAAGGATACCATTCCTACCCATCCTGGCTAATAGCCATTGATGGACCTAACCTCTGTGAATCTATCTAGCTCTTTTTTGAACCCTGTTAAAGTCCTAGCCTTCACCGCATCCTCTGGCATGAAGTTCCACAGGTTGACTGTGCGCTGAATGAAGAAAAACTTCCTTTTGTTTGTTTTAAACCTGCTGCCTATTAATGTCATTTGGTGACCCCCTAGTTCTTATATTGTGGGAATAAGTAAATAACTTTTCCTTATTCACTTTTTCCATACCAGTCATGATTGTATAGACCTCTATCATATCCCCCCTTAGACTCCTCTTTTCTAAGATGAGAAGCCCAAGTCTTTTTAATCTCTCTTCACATGGGACCCGTTCCAAATCCCTCATCATTTTTGTTGCCCTTTTCTGAACCTTTTCCAATGCCAATATATCTTTTTTGAGATGAGGCTTGTGGATGAGACCAGGACTGTGGTGTTCTGTAATCAGCTCACTGTGTTGAGAGACAGCTGCAGTATTCCATCCCTCCAGAGGTCTGGTCCCATTCTCCTTCTGAACCCTCAGCCATGTCCAGAGAATCAGACAAGACTTTGGCAGATCTCATGATCCTCCCCTTTCCCTGGACCTCAGGGACTTTCTAAGTAGGAAACCAGGGTGTGTGTCTTCTCTAAGTACCATTTCCCTGTCCATGGATCACTCAGTCTTTCTGCTGAGGAAGGGAGAAGTGGGTCTCTCTGAACCTGAGAGCCATTCCTATTTCTCCAGGTCCAGTCGCCTCTGTAGGAAGGAGGGGGAGAGTCTTTGCTATTGTGCTTCTCTTTTCAAACACCACAAGTGAGATGGGAGACCCCGTGATTAATGCTCCCCAGCTTCAATTCCCAGCTTGGCTTCTGGGAGAGGGACAGAGGAAGGGGAGAGCTTTGCCCTGACTGTCAGCAACTGGAAGGAAGGACAGAGGGAGTCTGCGGCGCTAAGACCAGGACGTGCCTCCTGAAAAGCTCTAGAAGAGTTCCTTTCCTTTGCGGCAGCTAACACTACACAGGACCTCCGCTCTAGGGAGTAAGACACAGGGTCCTATTCTGGAGATAACAACAGAAACACTAACCCTGCCATCTCTCCCAAGCACCTTCCCCTCCCCCCACACTGCCACAAGAAGATGGTGCTTCCTGCACCCTCTGTCCCAGCCCAATGCTGCTTACGTCTAAGAGGTTCTGCAGCTCTGCTGGGGTTGGCTTCTCTGACAGGAGAGCTCTCAGCATCACTTCCAGGGCATCCACACTCTGGTTGTACAAATCCTGAAAGGACGAAGAAGAGCTGCAGCACTTGGCATCAGACAAAGCCCGTCAAGCCACCTGTGGGGACCATGTGACACTACACCCATTTTACAGTTTCTGCTTCAGACCCCGCCATTGGCTGTTTTTACTGCCAGGAGGCCTGATGCGGAACCAGTATCTCGGTCATGCTCAGCAGTGGGCCCCGCCTGCAGCATGGCCTGGGGCAGGGAAGCTGTAACACAGTCACTGGACTCTGGACAAAGCTTGGTGGTGTGTAATCATCTCAGCAGGGTGGAGAGAACTCCTCCTTCGTCAGTTATCCCCACTCTCTTTTCCTCCCCTCACAACGCACATGCCTCTTACCCACCAAACACCAAGGGGGAAGTTTTTCCAATTAGCTCTAGGCAAACCAGACTCCCCTGGAGACAGCACTTCGATGTGGTGGGAAGGCTTGTGTGCTCCAAAGACCCTCTATGTGAGCTATGTTGATGGGAACTCTAACTCCCAGGAGGGAAACCCAACAGGACTAGAGGGTGAGGACCAGATGGAAAGCAGTCCATGGGTCCTCCATGGTAGGCATCACATGAGAGGCTAACCACATACCTTGGAGGGAGGAATAGCTCAATGGTTTGAGCATTAGCCTGCTAAACCAAGGCTTGTGAGCTCAATCCTTGCAGAGGCCATTTGGGGCAAATATTTGTCAGGGATAGTACTTGGTCCTGCTGTGAAGGCAGGGGACTGGACTCAATGACCTTTCAAAGCCTGTTCTAGGAGATAGGCAATCTCCATTAATTTAATTTAAATTTTCCTAGGAAGGAGTTAAGCTGCAGGAGTTCTGCAGAACTTTGCAAAGTCCTGCAGAATGAAAAGATGGAGCGATCTGGGCCATGTGTTAAGAATGAAGCTAGCATGTCTGCCATGCCAGACATGCCATTGGACAGCTGGAGGAACACACAAAAGGGGCTTCCTGAAAGAACCCCAAACAGTACTTTGAGGGAACCCCGTGGGACTTAACACATGGAGGGCACACAAAGAGTGGCCCGGTATTCACAGGGATGGCCAAGCCGTGTTCATGGCTAAACAATATTGGATAGTGTAGGAAGGATTCAGATTCAGGTTCTAGGCAAGTCAAAGGAGTGGGTGTAGATAAACCAATGTGCTCAGGGGAGGACAACGAATTACCTTTACATTTACTTTATGACCTTCCTGCCTTTGCAAGGCCTCTATTGAGGGCAGAGCAAAGATGCTGGTAATGCAGACAACGAGCACATCCGACTTCTCTTTCCCCTCCAGAGGCGGCTTCACTTTGCTAGTAAAAAATAAGCACCCATTGGAACCCCCACTGTGCAAAAGGCATCGGGGCTTTCATACTGCCAATGCGGGACACTGAGGAAGGATGGGAAAACATGGCCAAAAGAGGTTTGTGCTAATCTTGTGGGCATAAAGGAGCAGCAGGGACCTGCCTAATTATTATTGTTTGTTATTGGTGTTATGGTCACACCTAGAAGCCACGGCTGAGATATGGGCCCAATGTGCTAGCAACCATAGCTATTTAGCAATTTGCCCTGCCCAAAAGAGCACACAATGTAATTGCCCAAGACCTGGGGTGGGCAAAAGGGCCTATGCGGGCCGGATCTGGCCCACGAAAGTCCTGCTGCTTCCCTGCCCCCAGGCTAATCATGGCCTAAGGACGGGGAGCACACAACACCTAGGGTGTGTGTAAACTACGCCCCTCTGCTAACAGAGGGATGTAGATTAGGCACATCGCTATTGCAAATGAAGCGGGGATTTAAATATCCCACGCTTCATTTGAATAGAAATGGCCACCGCGGCACTTTGCCGGCAAAAAGCAGCCGTCTAGATGGGGATCAGTCGACAAGGAAAGACTTTTCTGTCCAATCCTGTAAACTTTGTTGCACGCGGCATAAGGGATCGGTCGGAAAAGGCTTTCCTTGTTGACCAGTCCCCATCCAGACTGCTGCTTTTTGCCGGCAAAGTGCCGCATCGGCAAAAAGTGACAGCCATTTCTATACAAATGAAGCATGGGATATTTAAATCCCCGCTTCATTTGCAATAGCGATGTGCCTAATCTACAACCCTCTGTCGGCAGAGGGGTGTAGTTTACACACACCCTTAGAGTCAACCCTGGCGGTTGACTCTAAGCACCACACACCGGAGGGCAGGGAACAAAAGACCTGGGGGGGGGGAAGTCTCCTCCCACCCTGCAAGGGGCTTGGCACTTAAGAGTCAACGACCAGCTGCTGCTCAGCTGGCGGATGACCCTAAGCATGATGCTCCCTTGCAGGGCGGGGACAGAGTTTGTGTGCTCCCCCTGGCCCCAGGCCCTGATTTACCTGGGGGGCAAGAGAGGGGAGTGTGTGAAGTCTATTCCCACCACCAGGGGCACAGGTGCCTAGAGGTAAACCGCTAACTGTTCAGAATAGCTGGTGGTTCTCTTGGGGTGGGGTGGGGTGGAGGCAAAGATTTCACTCACTCCCCCACCCAAAGACCAATCAGGGTCTGTGGGCGGGGAAGCACAGAAGTGTCCTGACCCCACCCCGTCCACCTGAGGCCCCGCCCTTTCTGGGGCGGCCCAGGGCCACTTCAAATATTTCCGAAGTGGAACCCGGTCAAAAATTATTGCCACCCCTGCCCAAGGCGGCCGAAGTATTAGTACTACCCATTTTACAGAAGGGAAATTGAAGCACTGACATGTCTACTCAGAGACTGTGGTTGAGCCAGGAAGTGATCCCCATCTCCAGAGCCCCAGTCCAGGGCCATAACTAAGACACCACTTTGCTTGTGTGCTGGCAGAGCGTTGGACTGGCACGGGGGAAAGCAAGAGGGACATGGCCATACTGGCATCCTGTGTCACTGCTGGCGAGAGGATTAGCCCACACCCACAGGGGAACCTCAGCAGACATCTGAGCAGAGACCGAGGTGGGACTCCATTCAGATGCTGTTCACTTTAACAAGCGCTTGGATTAAAGATCCTCCTCCATGTCAGTCTGAATAACCTGCCCAGTCCCGCAGCAAGCGAGGTGAGTTCTGCCCCACTGAATCTCCACAATGGGAGCTGGACGTCCCCCCTGGAAGGCTGGGATTCCTGGCTCCACAGAGTCAGAGTGGGACGCCCGAGTACCTGCAGTCTGCAATGAGCAGCATCCCCTGACGGCGCACAGAGCTGGAGTGCGAGTCCAGCGAGTCCAGCGGCAGCGATTTAATGTGCTTCTGTGAATCCCAGAGGAGACAAATGTGGCAATGAGATCCTGGCAGCCTTGCTAGCCTCAATGTTAGTCCCCCCTCCCCTAACAAAGAGGCGATCTCAGCCTGGGGTGATCATATTTTCCTATGCTGAAGACGGGACACCTGGTAAAATTAGCTACATTCAAGAGAGTTCAATGGCAATTGATCATACAAACATCTAAATTAACATCAAGTTGACTGAGGCTCTGATAAAAAGAAAAACTGGGCAGTTGGATTCTTTGTATTTACCTTCTTATCTTCAAGGGTTTAGGGTTCACACATGGAGGGGTGAAACATACCCCTCAACTACTCCCACACAGGGAGAAGTGACACGCACACAATCCTGTATATCTCTCTCATGGGCGTATGTGTGTGTGTGTGACCAACCCTTCCATGCAAGCAGGAAGGGATTAAGCACTCCGGCAGCATTGGGCTCAGGGAATCTGACTACAGGGGCTTCGGTGCACTTGCCAGAGAAATGGCTCAGCAGGGGAGGGAGCCTAGGGGACAAGGCAGCCCCATGCTCCTTGAGGGCAGGGCCCAAGGTGGGGGAGAGGGGTGAAGAGAATTCTAAGGCGCCACTTGGGGGCGGCTGTGGAGCCTGCAAGTTCGGATTATGTAAAGGCTGGACCCCATGCCTGGCTGGGTCCCAGAATGGACCCACCTCTCCTGGGACCTGGCACAGCATCTTCCGACATGTGGGCAACATGAGGGCGGGGGAATGCAGGGTCACATGCCGCCTCCCCAGATTTCTGCTTGGTTTCTCACCAGAATGTGGCCAACCTTTTGGCTCTGTGCTGGAGGGAAGGGATGGGAGCTGCTTCCAGCTGCATGGGAGGAGCAGGATGATCTAGCAGAGCTCATCACTCCCCTCCTCCCGCTCACCGATCCAAGGTGGCGTGTCCCTTCCTGCCTACGTACTGTCAAAAGGCAGCTAACATCTTCAGGCTGCTTCTGGCCATCAAGAGAACCCAGTCATCTCCTGTGCCCTGGCTACAGCATGTGCAGAAGGGCGTAAGCCCTAAGGATGCCTTGTGCACCAGAGCCCAGGGAATTTGACTGCAGGGGCTTCAGTGAACCTAGCCAGAGAGGTGACTCTGCAGAGGAGGGCACATTAGGGGCTGGAGTAGGACATGGGGTTGGAGTGTATGTGTGTGTGTGAAGAGGTTGCTAAGCCTCTGCTCTGGGGGCTGCTGTGGAGCAGGGTCAGGCTGGAAATTGCTCCCCTTCCCCCCCCAAATTCCTACCACTCCAGAGCTTAGGTGAGAGGCAGAGAGGCATCCCTGTGCCAGTGCCGAGTGACACTTGAGCACAATGCAGGACTTGCCTCTGCCTGGCCAGCGCCCCAGGCCAGAGGCTTTCCCGAGGCAGTGGCCCAGCCGGGGGCAATGGGGGAACAGGGAAGGAAGGAGCCTGCCAGCTGTACTGTTGGTGAGCTCAGTGCTCTGATCAGGGGCTGGTTCTTTGTGCAGTGCTGGGAGCAGGACGTGCCCCATTGGGTCAGGGTGTTGAAGGAGCAGCAGAGCTGAGGGTGGGGGGACTAAATGGCAGGACATAAAGGGCTGATGTGTGGGCAGCAGGGGCTCCTGCCTGTGCTCACTGACCAATGCAGACAGTACCAGCTAGAAACCAGGGAGCAGGGCACTGCTGGCCAAGAGCCAGGTGCTGCACTGACAGACCAGCAAGGGGAGCAGCTGGTCCCATGCACTGCATCTTCACCTCAACCCCATCATTAGCCATGGACTTCTGCCTACTCACCACTGGAGGGCAGGCAGCCGGCACTCAGGGATCTGGCCAGCAACAGGGCCCACCAGTGCTGATGGGGTAGAAGAACATTTGGGACAATTTGCCAATTTTTAAGAAAAAGTTGGGACACCCGCAGGAGGCCTTAAAAACAGGAGATCTGGTCACCCCACCCAAGCTCCAGAGAGCAGAAGGAGGGCAGCTAACAACCAAGGCCAGACCCAAGTCCCAGCCAGGCCCCCAAATGAATAAATCCATTACAAGCAGTTGAACCAGTTTCTCTCCTCTCTCACCTTCTCGTCCTGTGTCCCCACTTGACAGTCAAAGTGACCTGGGGCCAGTCTGTTTTCTAACTGAGTCAGGGAAAGGGCTCTCTCAGTGGAGACCCCTCTGCTGAGGAATTAGCTGTACTGACTAGATGCCTATGAAGTACTCTACATCAATTTCAGCTGGTTTATTCGTGACCATTTTCTGGGTTTCCTCTTGGATTCTGCATTAACTCTCTCACCCCAGGGGACGAGACCGCGTGAAGTGGGAGACAGCTTGCCCAACAGTTTAACTTGGCACTAGGCTGATCTGCTGCTGCCTAGGTAGCACAGATGGGCTGTTGGGATCTCCTGTGTGACCAGGCAATGCTTCGCGTCGTGGCTTGATAAGGTGCTTCTAATAGACCCCTTCTGAATGAAATGCACAGAGACATGCATTGGAACAAAGTGCTCCCATGGCAGGAAAACTCACCAGCCATGCGTTACCCCTTCCATCTATTCTACACTAACCTTTCTGGTTATTTAATGAGCACCTTTTTTTGGATAACATGGAATTGGTGAATAAATACCCACAGTCATTGCTTCTGGAGTGTTGGAGCCTACGCCTGTCTCATCTGTGCTCTCATAAGGCAGGCGAGTACCAGCATTCCTCGAAATTCTAGGCATAGTTCATCCATCCTATTCTGCCATATGGGCAGATCTTACTCACCACAATCTGCTTGACAAGAATGAGTTTTTGGCTCTGGGGGGAGTTCGTTTTCTGTCTGTTCCCGCTGACCTCCCTGCCAAGTTCCTTCTTGGATCGTGGACCCACCCAAGCAAAGAAAAAACATGAGATATTAGGGTGGAAAGAGATAAACATCAGTCATCAAAACACCGTCTTAAGAGTCACACGTTCTTTGTTGTGTGGGAGTTGTTCGATACATATGTATCACCACCCCCCTACAAGTAAAAGCAGAACTCAAGCCGCTTGGCCCCTGAATGTGCATGCTGAGTGGATGGAATGAAGTAAAAACCTTTGGCGTTTAAAAGCGCTGCATAAATGCCTAGCTAGGCTAAGTGCATGATAAATGTAATAGGAAAGGTGGATTAAAGTGCAGAGAAGTGTGAGGTAGAGAGACACTAGAAACACAGAGCACATTCCTACCAGCTTATCACAATCATTCAATGCCGCCATCTCCAATGCCGACGGTACTTTGTCCTCCTTTTCACCCACATCCTGCCTTGTCCCACAAGCTCCACTGGGATTTTCTGAATGTAATAAGAAGAGAGAAGGTAAAATTCTGAGTAGCTGGTTAAAAGGGATGCATGGTGAGCTGCCTGATCTACCATTGCTTATGAATTTCCAGTTACCACCTTGAGTGTTGACAGGTCCTTTGTCCCAGGATTATGCCCAGCATTCAATTATTCTGTAGTTGGGAACTCTGATGTGCAGATTCAACACTCACACTATAAGGACTCTTGTATATTTGCAAATATAGTTTTACTAACACATTCAGCACAGACACAAACACTCCAATTTCATAAGATGAAATAGGGAATGTACATCTATATTTCCAGACCATAGACTCACACCAGTCCTTCTAGAAAAACCCAAGATGTTAGCCATCATCTTCCTCGTCACCTGCACCTCCCCCATCGTCACCCAGTGGCTGTCATTCTGACACCTCCCAAAGACTACATCTCCTTCTCCTACCACCCCTGGGATACCACTTTTATCATGTGTTACGCTGACGTTGTTACGGTTGATGCATATTCAGTGGGGATATTTCCTTTTCTCCTTATTTCTATTTCCTCCCCTTACTAATGGTGAAGTGTCTTTTCCAATAGGTCAGCATATCATTCATCTCAACTTATTATATGTGTCAGTTCATTACTGTGGGCCTTTTGTGGTTGTCTATCACATGTATTATTTCTGTCCTACCCTGGTAGCTGGTCTGGTCTCAATAGGTTGTTTTGGGTTTTTCTAAGGAACGGCGTACCTGCTAAGTTTGAGGGTTTTCTTGGAAGCACCTGTACCATGGAAAGCCACTTTATCTTACCACCATCTATCTAGGTTAGTGTTTCTCAACCTTTTTTTATAAAGTACCCCTTTAAAAGAAAATTGGAAGTACCCCCAGTACCTATAGTTTTCAGACACATTTTTTTCTACCATTGCAACACATTTATTTAAACAACTTAATCGTAGTTGGGTGGGTGATGACATTTTTGGGTGTAAAAAGTACAAAAATAATAAAGCGCTGTAAAACTTAAAACAAAAATTCAGTTTTCTCCAAATTTTAGTTGTCTTGATGTGCCTCCCAGACTTCTCTCAAGTACCCCTAAGAATACTCGTACCACTGGTTGAGAATCACCTAAAGCAGTGTAAGGATCCAGACAAAAATACTAACTTTGCCTTAGCTCAACATAAAGGACATGGCCTGTAAGTCTCGTGTTACAATCAAACTGCCAATATAAACCTACCGTAACTTATTATAATAAACATAGAATCAAAAGCATAAGGAAAGAATATGTGTACAGTAATTCCTTATTTAACACGTGCCCGCCTAATATGTTTTCGTGATAGCACAATTTTTTTGGGGAACGTTTTTTGAATTACATGACTGTCCCCGGAATAACACGATTTCCTCAGCAGGTCCGTTGCCGGCAGCTGTGTGGGACTTCCCCTGCCTCCCTGAAAAGCAGTGGAAGGTTCGCTGCACCGTTCCCCAGTGACCCCCCCTCACCAGATACAGTGCGGGTCCCGGCACAGTCCCATGGTGCCGGAGGGAGCATCTCCAGCAGAGGAGGAGCAGGCAGCAAAATTAACTTGGCAGACTGTAGCACTCAACCCAGACTCTTTCCGTGCCTCGGTTCCCCATTTATAAAGCGGAGATGATAATCTTTTCCATGCGAAGGGGGCACTGTGAAGACTGAAGCTGGGATTTTCCTTGAGAGTTAGGAACCCGATTCTCACTGGAAGTCTATGGATGTTGAACCAGGGATGGCAATTAAGAGGGCTAAGAGTACCGCAGGCCCCCTCCTCCCAAAGTTTGAACCCCTGAATTTCATACCTGAAGCCTGCTTAAAAGGCATGCCTCAGCCCCAGAGTCCGCTCTTAACTGCTGCAGAGCATGTGCTGTGCCCAGCTTTGCCTTTGTTTATAAATAGAGGGAGGCAGGATGATTAAGATAACCAAAGGCTTGCCATTCAAGTAATTGAAGGGCTCATTAGATGATCATGAAAACTTTGCTAGGCACTCCACTTAAAAGATAGAGAGGGCAAGGGGAGGGGAGAAGAAGGATAGGAATAACAGTGGTCTATATTGGGACCAGTGCTATTCAACTTCTTCAAAAATGAGCTTGAAAAAGGGATAAACAGTGAAGTGGCAAAATTTGCAGATTATACAAAATTACTCAAAATAGTTAAGTCCAAAGCTGGCTGCAGAGAGTTACAAAGGAATCTCATAAAACTAGGTGATAGGGCAACACCATGGCAGCTGGAATTCAACATTGATAAATGCAAAGTAATTAATGCACTCAGAAAAATATAATCCCAACTATACATACACAATGATGGGGTCTAAATTAGCTGTTACCACTCAAGAAAGAGATCTTGGAATCATTGTGGATAGTTCCTTAAAGTCATCAGTTCAATATGCAATCTAAAAAGCTAACAAAATACTGGGAATCATTAGGAAAAGAAGAAAGAATACAGAAAATATCATAGTGCCTCTATATAAAGTCCTGGTATGTCCACATCTTGAATACTGCACACAGATTTGGTCACCCCATCTAAAAAAAGATGTATTGGAATTGAAAAAGGTACAGTGAATGGGGACAGAAACAAGTAGGGGTAAGGAACAGTTTCCATGTGAGGAGTGATTAAAAAGACTGAGACTTTTCAGCTTGGAAAAGAAATGACTAAAAGTTGGGGGATATGTTAGAGATCTAGAAAATCATGAATGGTGTGGAAAAATAGAATAAGGAAATATAATGTTTTCCTTCATTAAGATAACACAAGGCGGCCACCCAATTACATTGATAGGCAGATTTAAAACATACAAAAACCTGTGGAACTCTTTGCCAGGGGATGGTGGAAAGGCCCAAACTATAACAGGGTTCCAATAAGAACAAAATAGTTCAAGGAAGATAGATCCATCAATGGTACTAGCCAGGATGGGCAGGGACGGTGGAAATGGGCAACAGAGGATGGATCATTTGATGATTACCTGTTCCATTCATTCCTTTTGAAGCACCTGGGATTGGCCGCTGTTGGAAGACAGGATACTGGGCTAGATGGACCATTGATCTGACCCAGCATGGCCATTCTGATGTTCTTGTAGAGAACTAGATTGTATCTGCTCCCTGTTGTATCTCACCAACCCCACTCCTCTCCCAGGGATGAGATAGAGCCCAGGAGTCCTGACAGTCTCACGTTCTCTCTCTCTTTCATTAGTAATGAAGTAAGAATATACATTAAAATTTTAAGCCCAATCAGTGTCCCTTAAATGAATTGCCACACAATATCAGAATGTTAGTATTAGAGTTGAGTAGATCTAATATTTAATTTTCTTTATTTTATATAGGAATTAGATACAGTGCTCTTGTCAGCTATCTGCTAAATTATCTGCCACAAAACTAGAGCTTTCAAGTGCCTTAGTAGCCCCTGGAAAGAGGTGATGTGTGGAGGGGAAGAGTGGACAGAGTCTGTCCCGCCCTCCTCCTGATTTGTTGCTTGACTTGTACTAAGCCTGCTCAATAACACTAGTGAAGCTGCTGCCTTCAGTATGCCTCCCCTATCATGGCATGCACAGGTCACCCCTCCCCACCAAAATCTGAAATGGTGCCCCTGTTTCTGCGGCACCTGTGAAAATTGCAATCTGATCAGCTTGGGTCCAATCAAGCACCTTGGTAGTTAAGACCCAGTTGGACCTAAGGCCTCAATGCCATTTCTTTGGAGACCTTTCTGGTTGAACATGCCCCAGTATGTAATGTTTGTGTGTGGATATTGCATGCATAGGCCCCTCACCTCCTCCAGACACATGTGGCTCTTCACTGTCAGAAGTGGCCTGTGCTGTGCAGTGCTCCATCGGGCCAGCATGTAGAGCGTTCTTGGTCACCTTTCCTCCAGCCTCAGAGGGCACAGCTGGGTCATCAGGACATCAGCTGACTCCTCACCTCCAGTGACCAAATTTTGGCACCTTCCTCCCACTTCTGGGTCATAGAGGTGTGTTTTCGGACCCTCAGAGCAGCGCCTGACTCCGTACTTCCACGACTTGCTCAAGAGATACTGTTGGCTCCCGTGGTCTATTGGCTCCCGTGGTCTATGCCCTACGCCTCTCAAGCATCAGGCAAAGTTGTCCCAAACTAAGTCCCTCTCTTGCATCTCCCTGTAGGGGTGGGTCCAAGTACACATGCAGCCTTTCTGTAAGAGAATCGGGAATGATAATTTATCCCAGCTTGTTATGGTTAACTTCCAAATGTCACTGCTTTGAATATGCAAATGAAGCAGTAGCACTGTTGATGTCATAACCATCTAATGACCAATCAGTTCCTTGCTTTGGATAATCACTGCCCTCAGCCACCTTACCCAGATTACCATGCAGCTTGCTCTGAAACATGAGCGCCGTGGCGTCAGTGAAGTGTAAGTGCCCAATGAAATTAATCAAAAAGACTTTTTGATTCCAATAGGTGTAGGATCAAGTCCTCAGAGAACTGTCCAGTCCAGCTGGCGTGCTGTTCTGCATAACAACTCACTTACCATTTGAACCTACCACATTTCACTCCTCAATAATGGTCCTGCTTGTGTGAAATCAGCTGAGTACTGCTGTTTTTAAAACAATAGTCTGTGCTCATTGAGTCAAGTATCAGAGGGGTAGCTGTGTTAGTCTGAATCTGCAAAAGCGGCGAGGAGTCCTGTGGCAACTTATAGACTAACTGAAGTGTTGGAGCATAAGCTTTCGTGGGCAAAGACCCACTTCTGATGAAGTGGGTCTTTGCCCACGAAAGCTTATGCTCCAACACTTCAGTTAGTCTATAAGTTGCCACAGGACTCCTCGCCGCTTTTGCAGATTCAGACTAACACAGCTACCCCTCTGATACTTGACTCAATGAGCACAGACTATTGTTTTAAAAACAGCAGTACTCAGCTGATTTCACACAAGCAGGACCATTATTGAGGTGCTCATTGAGTTATACAAAAATAAAATCTTCCACTAACACTATAGATTAGCTAGATGGAACCACACAGAAGTTGCAGCTTAGAGCTGAGTAGTAAACATTGTTCTCATTTACCCAGTATAAATCCAGACTAACCCCAGTGTTAACAGAAATCCATGAATTTGGCCCCAATCCTGCAATTAGATCTGTGAATAGAGAATCCCTGTGCAGGTGCACAGCCCCAGTTAAATCTGTATTTATTAGATGAGAGCAGCATTTTGCCTTTTTTTCTTTCTTGCCTGAAAAATAGAAATGTCAGGTTTGGGAGAATTTAGGGTTAAAATTTTGTACAATCATTCTTTCAATTTTGTTTACCTTATGTGTGCCTAAAGATGTTGCTCTTACCTAGAAGGCTAAAAGGAAATACAATGATGCCCAAAGTGAACTAAAAATGATCATGCTCAACATGTTCAGCTTTTCCAATTATTGGTGTTTTAAGGAAAATGCCAGTGTGCTGTAAATGTTATTCTAAGTTCAAAAAAAACAAACCAGTAAAAATGCTTGCAGATAATCTTTAAAAGATACATAGTTATCAAAGAGGAGGCTTAATTTGACAGTTGGAAAAATGCAGACACATAGAATAGCTCTCTTACTAGGGGATATAAAGCTCTTTATTTATTTTTTAATTATTTTAACAAAGTTTAAATGAAAGTTAACCAGAAGTGAACTGAATACATTGAGGACTTTACAACTACAGGCAGTCCCCGAGTTACGTGGATCCGACTTATGTCGGATCCGCAGTTACGAACGGGGATTTTCTCGCCCCGGAGGACTGGAGCGGCGGGACGCCTGGTCCCACCGCCCGCCTCCTCCGGGGCGAGAAAAGCTGCTCCCCGTCTCCCTAGTCTGCTGGGGGAGCCAGCAGACCAGGGAGACAGGGAGCAAAGCGGCAGAGGACCCAGGTGGGACCCGCGGCGCTGATCTGGAAGTGCCGCGGGTCCGGCCCGAGTCCTCCGCCGCTTTGCTCCGCGTGTCCCTGGTTTTCTGGGGGGGGACGCAGCTAGTGCTCCCCCCCCCAGAAGACCAGGGAGATGTGGAGCAAAGCCCGGGGCTTGTGGTAGAGCAGGTGGGGCGCTGCTGGTTGGTCCCGCAGCACCGCTCCTTGGTGCTACTGGACCAACCCGGCAGCACCCCAGCTGCTCTGCCCCAGGCGTCCCCAAGTCAGCCGCTGGTGAAACTGACCAGCGCTGACTACAGGAAGCCCGAGGCAGAGTTGCCTGGGGTTCTTAAGTTGAATCTGTATGTAAGTCAGAACTGGAGTCCAGATTCAGCCTGTTGAAACTGATCAGCAGCTGAG